ATCATCATCATTAGCATCATGATCTTCTTCCTCCTTCTCCTTATCATGATCATGATCCTTTCCTTCCCTTCATCATCATCATCATCCTACTTTTCATAATCCTCATCATGATCCTTCTCCTTGTCATCATAATCAAGTAAATCATATTGCTTCTCTTCCTTGTCATCAAATTATCATCATTATGTTCATCATGATGATCCTTTTTCTCCTTCTCGTCTTTCTCATAATCATCATGATAATCATGTTCAATATTATCCTTCTTCTATAAGTCATCATCAATATCCTCCTCGTCCACCTCCTTCTTCATATCATCATCATCATCATCATCATCAGTAGCATCATGATCTTCTTCCTCCTCCTCCTTTTTATGATCATGATCCTTTCCTTCCCTTCATCATCATCATCATGATCCTTTTTCTTCCCTTCATTATCATCATCATGATCCTCCTCCTCACAATCCTCATCATGATCCTTCTCTTCGTCATCATAATCAAGACAATCATGATGCTTCTCTTCCTTGTCATCAAATTATCATCATTATGATCACCACCATGATCCTCTTTCTCCTCCTTGTCCACCTCATCATCATCGTGATAATCATGATACCCCTCTTTCTTGACATCATTATCATGATAATAATGATCCTCCTCCTCATAATCCTCATCATGATCCTCCTCTTCATCATCATCATCATGACAATCATGATGCTCCTCTTCCTTGTCATCATCATTATCATCATTATGCTCATCATCATGATCCTCTTTCTCCTCCTCGTCCACCTCACCATCATCGTGATAATCATGATACCCCTCTTCCTTTTCATCATTATCATGATCATTATGATCATCCTCCTACTAGTCATCATCATAATCATCCTCCTTTATCATCATCAGCAGCAGCAGCATGATGATCCTGTTCCCCCTCCTCCTTATCATGATTACGATCCTTCCCTTCCTCTTTATCATCATCATCAAGATCCTCCTCCTCATAATCTTCATCATGATCCTCCTCTTCCTCATCACCATCATGATAATCATGATGCCCCTCTTCCTTGTAATCATCATCATTATCATTATGATCCTCCTCCTACTAGTCCTCATCATGATCCTCTTCCTTCATATTATCATCATCAGCAGCAGCATCATAATTCTTTTTCTTCTTCTCCTTATCATGATCATGATCCTCCTTCTCATAATCCGCATCATAATCCACCTACTCATCATCGTCATCATGAAAATCATGATGCTCCTCTTTCTTGTCATCATCATCGTGATCATTAAGATCCTTATCCTATTAGTCATCATCATAATCCTCCTCCTCCACCTCCTTCTTCATATCATCATCATCATCATCACTAGCAGCAGCAACAACAGCAGCATTTTCCTCCTCCTCCTTATCTTCATCATCATCATCATCATGGCAATCTTGATGCTCATTTTCCTTGTCATCATCATCATGATCATTATGATCCTCCTCCTACTAGTCATCATTATGATTCTCCTCCTCCTCTTCATCATTATGATGATCCTCCTCCTCATAATCCTCATCATGATCCTCCTCTTCATCATCATCATCATGACAATCATAATGCTCCTCTTCCTTGTCATCATCATTATCATCATTATGCTCATCATCATGATCCTCTTTCTCCTCATCGTCCACCTCATCATCATCATGATAATCATGATACCCCTCTTCCTTGTCATCATTATCATGATCATTATAATCATCCTCCTTTACTTCCTCCTTCATATCATCATCATCAGCAGCAGCATCATGATCCTCTGTCCCCTCCTCCTTATCATGATTATGATCCTCTGTCCCCTCCTCTTTATCATGATTATGATCCTTCCCCTCCTCATTATCATCATCATTATCATCCTCATCCTCATAATATTTATCATGATACTCCTCTTCATCATCATTATCATGATAAACATGATGCTCCTCTTCCTTGTCATCATCATCATGATCATTATGGTCCTCCTCCTACTAATCATCATCATGATCCTCCTCCTCCACCTCCTCCTTCTTATCATCATCATCAGCAGCAGCAGTATGATCATCCTCTTCCTCCTCCTCATAAACCTGATCATGATCCTCCTCCTCCTCGTACTTCTACTTCTTCTTCTTCTACTTCTTCTTCTTCTACTTCTTTTTCTTCTTCTTTTTCTTCTTCTTATAGACTGGACTAAACTCTGCTGCTTTTTAGATCTTCTACTAGCCTTGAAAGCATAACTAAAAAGTAAAATAAATAATGCGTTCGAATTGAATGGCTAATTCAGCTAACTTTGACTTGCAACTTGATCGGAGCGTCAGGGAGTCTTTGTTCAACGCACCTAGTCCTGTGTTCTCTATCAGCCTATTCTTGCTTTACACCACCGGACCATCGACTTGGTACATTCCCAAAATGGGGACCGGGATTGAACGCTCTTAGGCAGCCAGATTCGAGACAGTCAGACGGTGATTTCGACGTTTAGCAGAGACCAATTGACAAGCTGGTTGCAAGAAAAGTGGGCAGCTCAGAATTGTGTGAACAAGTGGATGGACCATATGAAGTGGGGTTGAGGGAAAGAGATGCAACAATCGAAGGTAGAACAAAAAATGGGGGTTAAGAGGATTGCCTTCTTTTGTCACTTTGATCAGTTGTAACTCTGTGTTTACGATGGCGCCTCGCACTGACCCTGCCGGCGAATCGTTTGCGAATGTACCAAATCAAAATGGTCCGATGCTGGAAATGACGAAGACTGTGACGGAGGTCACGGGACTAGGTAACTTCCAAAAGGTCTCGTGACGCTGCGACCAAGTTGATAGCAAACATGTTCGAACCAACACAGTAAAGCAAAAGGAGACTGCCACCAGACATGTGATCTTTACATGTCCACCATCCCACACCTTCCTTGAAAAGCACATCTGGCATTCGTGGATTCGAGTCAGCTTCGAGTCCCACTAGGGGAGCTGATAAGACCAATTGCGGCAGACTCGAACTTGCAGTCCAGTCGGATGGCATTCAAGCGAACATGGCGATCACAGCTCGTAAATCGGATCTGTAGGTGACCGCGAAAATGTGCTAAGAGATGGAAAACACAAAAACGTTTGTCTTCATTTTCGGAAGAATTATCCTCATGCGTCACATGACGGCATCAGGAACGAGGAAACATTGGGACAAATCGAAAAGGGGCGAATGTATGAACAAAAAAAGTTCTCCTGATCGTTTTTCTGCAACCCGGTCCTGTTGGCCGATTGCAATTCTGCCACTTTAGGCATTAATGCTTAGTCATGACAGTCTCACGTAGCGATAAGAAAATTGAAAAATGGTATAGATCTGACTTTTGCTCTTCTTCTCAAGCATTTTTTTCATTTCCCTCAAAGTAAATCTGTTGGAAACTCGAGGCAATAAAAGTTCAACAAAGATTGTGCATCGAAAAAATGGGCTCTTTTGTCTGAACGATGAAAATAACGAAATCCAAAGTCTGTCAGACGACGCCACGGTTTATGGCATACCTCCAGGGTTCGCATAAATTCACGCTAGATTCGAGGCAAATTTTGTGCGTCATCCTTATTGGCTTCTATATTCTAATATTTTCTCATATTCCTCAGCAAAAATTGGATGTTAACCTGAGGTCTCATAAATTATAGACAAAATTGCGTATGCGATTTGTCGGCCCACAGAACTAAACTTATAGTATCAAGTATAAGCAATATATAAAAAAATATTTGTAAGCCATAACTCAGTTAAGCCTCTTCTTTTCCTAATTCCAAAATGTCTACTATAAAATGTACTACTTTCTTATAACATTGAAAGGCAAAATATCCATGCCAAATTTTGACAATAGTTTATACTACTCATGAGTAGTAAATCTTTATTATGATATTTTAATTTTATCTATATTAAATATAATATATATTATCTTTTTAAGTAAAATTATATTATTCTTGTTATAAGAATTTCATACCCAGATTCAGGATTTCATTTATATTAACAGCGGTTAATCCAAACTGCCTGATTTAAGACATAAGAGTAATCTGAAATCTCAACATTATCAAGCAGTCATCCTGATCACAATAGTTGAGCTTACTTCCATTTCGAGTGAAAGTGTACTTTTATTGTACTCTTACCTCACTCTTTCTCTCTCACATAAAGACAGAATAAAGCTCCATCAAGATAACCAGACGCGTGTTCGACCCTGTGCAATCGCAGTAATGGGTATAGCATTTTTGTATAATATGGAAGATGGTGGTCATCAAAAGTTGATGGCCGAGAACAGAAGTTACCGTGTGGAATAAGTGGGTTGGAAAGAATCCTTCAATATAAAATTTGTTAGAGTACTTTAATTTTGCTGTCCTAATTACTTTGGTCCAATGCTGCTGGTTTCGTGCAAAAGTGAACACATACAGACACATACACTTACAGGTACTGACACACTCACATGTTTCGAGGTTGACATATGACTTGAACTAACCCCATTTCTTTGTACTCAATCAAAGAGGTCAGATATAGAATATATATACAGATCTTTAGCGATGGGCCGTTGAGTTTTCTTGACTGGTTGGCTTGAATTTGGCTCGTCATGACACGGACGAAAGCTCAGTGGGGTTTCGCCGGAATCGAAGGAGATAGCATCTGAAACAGTGTCTGCAAGAATGTTCCCATGAAACCAATCAACAGCTGGTGAAGAGGGATCCGTCATCGTGTCCAGTGGAATCGACCATCGAATCTCTTAACCAAACTCTTTTTTATTCGAAATGGAAGTAAACTTAACAATTATGCAACAAGAAATTCCTCTAAACCCAACTTTTTTCGCATATCCTGATCACAATTATTGTTATAATATTGTTAGGCAACTAATAAAAACACCTTTCATTTATATTGACTGTTCAGTATCAGACCTGCAAAATAGATTTATTGTTTGTCTAAACAAGTCATTATTTTCTGTTCCCCTTGGAGACAAACAACATTTCATATTGTATTAATATCGTAATGTTAATTTTATAAAAAATCCCTTAGGCGGTTGTCTACAATTTTCTCATTTTTTAAAATACAATATAGCCCTAGGCAACAAAATGGGCATAAAAGAAACTAAAAATTGCAGATTTTGCCACAAATTAAACGCACATTCAAATCACAGTCAAATTACTCTACTGATCAGTTAAAATCAACTAAAATTATTACTTAATGTGCTTAAGCAAGCATTTAAAACAGGTTTAACGGTTATGTAAATAAGTATGTAATAAATCTATGCAATACTCCTTGACGAATAACTTTCCAATAAAAGTGTCATTAATGATTTATAACATTTCATTGAATAATTTTTACTAACTAAAATTCTTGATGGGGAAAAATATATAAAATATAATAAGTGCCTGAAGTAAATTAGCGATTAGAACAAATAGATATTATGTGAATGCAGTTAAATAAATATGATATACTACTTACAAACTTAAAATCTTGATGGTATTTAAATGTCTATACAATAAGATAAATATAGATCATTAATGCTTGTTAAAACGCCTGCGAAACTCTCAATCAATTCACAAATGTATGTCACGCAATAAACTTTTTATAAATATTGCTGAATACTTACCAACTCATTGTAAAGTTAGAAATTAAAAGTAAACCTCCTATCGTCTGTAAACGGAGCTACTTAAGTGAAAAATATGATTGGCAAATTAGCATTTATCTGCAAGCTCAATTAAAGTCGTAATTTCTATTTAGTAAACAAATGCTGTGATGCCTCCATTACACATTTGAGCACAGCATCAGTTAAAAGTAACACAACTGGAAAGATGTGACAAGGTTAGATTTTCTTATAGCATGGCTTGTGATTGATAATTATACTAATTATTAATTACACACATTTATCCATTGCTGAAATGCGTTAATGCTAATAAATGCATTTTTGTTGAAGCTAAATAGGAAATTAACGAGTTATTTCCGATTTTATTGTGGCTGGACATTTTAGAGTGTTTGATCGACTAAATAGTCTTTCACCAACTTTGGTAAGCACACACAAAAGTGAAAAACTGTAAATAAAAATGTCCACTAACATTCACAATAAGAAATATGCTTTTGTGGTGATTGAGTATAGAACGAAATCGATGAGTTATGTCTCGAAAGCCTACTCGAAACGAAATTTACAACAGAATCATTATCACACCATACCACTTATTGTGGTTATGAGTAGTATGGGTCATGTTGAAAAATTTTATTTTATTTTCAGTCCGCCCTCCTCTAATCCCTTTTTTACTTTATCTGACACTTTTGAGCCTGATTTAGACCGAACTAACGATTGCATCTTTACATTTTCTGTTCCACCTCTTTCAGATCCGGCGTTGCCGCTTTCTGACGAAGGTACGTTTTTCCGCCAGTCTTGCCCATCTCTCGTGCAGCCCTCGTCTGGCCCTTGGGGCAGTACAGCTCCGTGGGACACATCAACAAAGGCTGAACCCACATGCTCCCTTTTTTACCTCAAGATTTGGCATCTGACCAATGTCTGTCACTTCTCAACTCATGATCCCCTCCTTCCTCTCCCTTTTCTCCACTCGTTCAGCCTCACTATTGTCCTCCTGTGCATACACACACACACACACACATGAACATGAATCGTCTCGTTCGGCGTCGCGAACTCTCCTCCATAACACTCTGTCCGAAAGAAGTGACACCTCCGGCGACCGGGCGGACTCGAGTCCCCGTCTCGAGCACCACTTTCAAGCGGCATCTTTATTTGAATCATGGTACCGCTTCAACCCCAACGGGGGTCATAAAGGCATTCTGAGCTGGTTAAGAGTTGTGAAATGAGATGTATTCACCCTATTTCGTGTAAGGTGATGAAG